TTCCACTGACACCTCTTTCAGGCTATTTTGGGAGGAAATTACACATCTGGTTTAGACACTTCCTGTTCTGTTTATTATCAATTTTCAAAAGGCAGAGGCTGATCTGATTAGAAAGTAAGATAAGTAAGRTCATCCAGCTGCTAATTGGTTTTGTGAAAACTTTCCTTGAATGAATGGTGTGCCAGGTTAATATTTAATTTTTCTTAGTWACTTATTTTATTGAGAAGCTTTATAAGTAAACTGTTTGGGGTAAACAGCGCCATCTMCTGGTCAGACTGGTGGAATTGTGTTTGATTAAAACAGTTTCTGTATTTTTAGTTTCACTGCTGGTCCTTAAAATTTCAGTAATAATCCCAGGATCTGTTTCTTCTGTCTTGTTTAAAGAAGACTAATTTTTCTGAGAAAAGGCCACACCAAGTAGAATTGCATTTGTGACACCCTTTTGACATCCCCAGTCTTGTTTGAGCTTTTATTTTGAGCACAACTTAATAAATTGTTTAATCTTATCTTCATTGTTGCAAAATCAACATGTCTCCTTTGTCTCTAAGTTAATATCTGCCCCGTTTGCCTCACTGGTGGATCTAAAGAGGTTTTCTTGGGGTGGTAAATATGTGGCATGAGGTTCCAGCAAAATGTATTGTTACAAGATTATTTGTCTCTGAATATGAGTTGCTCAAATTACGTGAAACATCAGTTYACTTCCTCATTATTTACTGATTCAATAAATCTTTTGATTTTAATTAAACAATAGTACTGACACATGCACACACCATGCACTTATTTTAATTCCAAAACGTGTTTCACTGCAGGTCACTGAGTCATTTGAGCAATAATCTCTGCTCTCATTTGCTGAAAGACCAGGAAAGTGTCTGCAGCAGTTCAGACTGTGTCAAACCTCTCACTGGTTTCACTGTGACTACACTTCTTYAGAAACGTCTAAGTCAGTTTATCAYCTCCAWTCTGAAATGAAACTGGGTGTGCAGCAGGACTGTCAGCAGGCCTACGTTCATCACAACAGGAGGTTTTTACACTGACGGTTTGAGCAACAAGGAAGCAGCAGAAAATGTGGGTGTGCATTTCCTTTCATGTGACAAAGCAGCTTTTTAAACAGGTTTATAGTTCAGTCTTAAAGGAAGTGAAGATGACTGGACATGTAAGTAAAATTATATAAATCAATAGCTGATTTGCTGAATATGAGTAAGGATTTATGTTTTCATTAAAATCTAAAACTACTAAATATAACCCAGTGTTAACACAAAGATATACATCTGTTGCACTTTTATGTAATATACTGTAATTAATGACTCATTCCAGTCAGTCAGTTCTACACATTAATCTAGTGACTCTTTAAAAAAATGTTTCTTTTCACTTCCTACAGGAGATAAATAAATGTTTAGAAATGAAAGGTTTATGGTTTGTCTCTATATTTTGACATATGACAAATAATAATGAACATATCGGAGATATTTTTGATGAATCGTGATCTTGTGCATCTTTTCTGTTTACATTTCACCTCTCGGTTTGACTTGTTCTTGAACGTGGAAGTTGTGTTTCACCGCTCGTTTTTATTAGTCCAGGAAGTGGCTGTGCTGAAAACCAGAACTCATTACTAGAAAATAAGAATTCCAATAAACTGAATTAGGTTATTTAAAAAAATCTATTATTCGTAGATTATATGACGATTTACAGAATATATGGACAAGTTTTAGGTAAAGAAAATAAACWGAAGACTTGGCTCAGCAAGGGGGTGACTGAGGGTTTGACTTCAAACTAATGTGATAAGACTTTTATCACACTGCACCAGGGCTGTCAAATTGAGGGCCACGTGAGCATTATGGCGGTCCTCGAAGGGCCAGCTGTAATTAACTTGAATGTTTCATGTTTAAATTTGACTAAACAGAAAATGTCACGTTCCTTGTTTCATTGCTACAGCTACTAACAAACAATAACTGAGCTCTACGTGGTATTTCCTGCATAGAAACAATGTTTTAACATGTCCTCTAGGACCTACTAGGTTGTGGTTCCAAGCGGTCCCAGTCGACACCAAAACGCAACATCAGAACACAGTTCGTCACTGATTGGTTAGGGGGTGGAATCACTGGTAGCGTCTGAGCTGCCTTTACAACAACAACTCGAGGCACCTTCTTTTTTTTCAATTGTAGCAGCGACATTAGTCATGTTTCTATTCTATTTTAATTCAAATTTTTAGCAAATTTTTAAAATTTCAGAACTTATTCACCAAATGTGTTTCCATCTCACATTTTGCGCATTAACTCTTCTTCGAAAAACTCAAAAACCACCTCCACCAACCGCCCAAAACACATCCACCGGAACCGGACCAGAACGTCAATAGAAAAGCACCCTTATAAACACTGAAAAGTACTATGTGTACAACTGACTAATACAGAAGTAAACATAAGAGTTTTACTCACTGTTGAGTTGTGAGACTAAACAGCATGGCTTCAACCTTGTCAGTAAAACTGCCATGTTAGCTCATAAATAAGGATCTGCTGCTTGTTTTTTTCGGGATTCTGTGATCCTGCTTGTTTGTTTCAGACATTAATGGGATCCCTCTTCAGTGTTGGCATCTTGTTTCAGCTGTGTGATTGTGACGTGAAATGCAGAAAYGACGATGGGGAGGAAGTTGACTGGTTAGCGAAGATTTCCATCCGTCCTCCTCTTCATTTCCCCCCACTTTCAGTTTTAGCTGTTTAAATGATCACACCTCTGCTGCTGTCTGACCCGTTAGGTTTATTTTGTACAAGCTGCCCAATGAGAAGGATGCTGGTTTGTCGTATTTGTACATGGACGAGAGCACGAATGGGTGGAAACTCAGCAAAAAGAAAATCAACAGTAGAACTGGCTCTTTAGGGAACACGCTGAAACCTCTTCTTGATTTCTATAAAAGAAAGGTAACATCCCAACCAAAGAGATGAATACTGWTGGTACGGCTATAAAAAGTGATGCAAATTTAAGATTTGTTGTGTTTTTATTATAAGACTGAAGGTTTTGGTTACATACTCTAYAATGATCAACCTCCAGATCCATATGCTGCTCCTTCTTCTTTTGGACACAGCAAAGGTGGGTGAAGTTAGAGTAAAAACATGCAGATAAAATGCTTCTTAAAAGTTGTCTGGCGTTTACTTTCTTAAGGGGTTGTGATGTTGGATCGACAAAGCRGCCTTTGGCTTTCACACAGTACACCTAAATTCCCAGCCTATCGCAAACAAGACTTCTGGCCAAACAGTGGGAACACAAACGCTCAAACRTTTCTGTGTGTTCATTTTCCCAAAGGACAATTTAAAGCAATAGGTAAGTTAATAATACCAGTTTGTTTGGACTAATTTAGTTTTTTTATTTATTGTGCTGATTTTATTTGAACTCTCAGGAGTGCAGCTCAAATACATCCATGCTTATTCGTTCGACTCGGAGGTAACTCAGGCTTTTCCTGAGGAGCTGCGGTGTGTTGCACAGAGAAGCTGCTACCCAAAAACACATCCCTGGTCCAGTGTGCAGATGCTGACCTCTGTCATGGGGCGCAACTTCACCAGCTTTGCAAAATATGGACGCTTTAAAGATGGTGAGTGCTATTTACATTATAGCACAAATGTAAGGAAACCTGTGTTTGGTAGATTGTTTCTTTGTTGCAACAAAGCTTCTTGGCAATAATATTGTCAAAAAGTTTGTTACTTTCCCTTTTAAATGGGGCCACATTTGTAAGGAACATGCATTTGTGGGATGAGCAGTAGAGCTGAGTGTGTGGATTGTGCACATAAAAAAGTCAAATCTTTTCTCTCATGCAGTTTATTTAGCTGTTACAATTGACACTTGTTTTGAATTTCTGGTAGTTTCAGGTGGCGTATAAGATTTATAGTCAAGAGGCATTGTTACAACGAAGAAATGATCTACCAAACACACATTTACTTACTTTTTGTGCTAAATAGTAAAGTGAAAATATCCAGGTGTTATTTAAATCAGTGTTTCCCAAAGTTGGGGTCGGGACCCAAAGTGGGGTCCCGAAACATCAAGGTGGGGTCCTGAAAAGATTTTCTGAATTAATTACATTTTT